ACGCCCGACCTCCCCTGCCTCCGGGGTCCCCGGCGGGACTGCTCCTGTCTCACCGGCACTTCTGACCGCAGTAAGCGCTGCGACGGCGAGCGACAGATCGCCACTGCAAAGGTCTGCGCTCGCGCCTGAGCTCGCACCGGCAGCTGCAAAACTCGCCTGCGACTCCCGTGAGACACCTCACCTTGTTTTGTGGGTTTTGGGGGTTTTGTTTGTTTGGGTTTTTTTTACACATGGAAATAAGGAAAACCCGCCCACCAAAACAACTCCCAAATCATCTGACCCAGTGCAAGAGCATCCTCTCTGTATTGTCAAAGTCAAGCTGATCTTGAACAGTCACATGCAAATCCTGTCTTTACGTTACTGAGGTCTCCAGGGGTTTTAGGGGGGTGATCTATGGGGAGGGAAGCATTCTGTTTCATGAGCCCTCGGCTCCTACAAAAATTGACAGTAACCAAAGTTAACTACTCAACCTTCACTGACTTCGATGGGGACGCTCATTGCCCTATGCAGAAGAGGCAGGGGAAGCGTGACTTCAGCGCTAATCCGAGAGACTTCGCCTACTCACGGCGTGAGCCTCCAGTGCCTCGAGTAACTCATTCCTTCCCTTCGAGAAGCAGGAGGCTCAATGCGGTTCTTTTTTGGTTTTATTAAATTAAAAACAAAGCCACAAACAAATAACGGTTGGTGCTCAAACCCAAATCTTCATCCCTCTGCAGACCACCATCTGCGTGTGTCTCCTAGAGCTGCCCAGTTCCACCTGAATTGACAGCCCTGTCTTCAGAAACGTGATGTTACCCACAGAGTGACCCGACAGCAGCCTGGGAGAAACAAACAGCCTCGGGCAGAACACACTGGGCTGCAAGACAGCTAACATGCAGCTACAGGAGTAGCAGCAAACAAAACCAGCTAGTTACCCTTAAAAAAACCCACACAGTAGGCTTAAAACTTTCTTTTCTGTTGCTTACTGCTATAATCAGTGGGTAGTAAATATTTGTGTGATGGCAGCATCCAGATGTCGCAACAGAGATCTGGACAGCACTGGGTAGGTACCGTATGAAAAAAAAGAGGCAATAGTTGGCCAAAAGGGTTGAATGTTAATATTCCTTGCATTATTCTCATTTCTGAAAAAAACAAATCTTACTCAGAAGGCGACTTTTAAGGGCATTCAGAATATACATTGCCTCATCAGCTAGGCATTAACAGAGAACAACTGTGTCAATGATAAATAAAAATAAATACTGTGTTGTTAATAAATACAAATGAGTCAGGGCAGTAAAGTGTATAGCTTGAGATAAAGCCTAATAGTAGCAGTGGTTTTCTTATCCATATCACTACACACACTGTTGAACGGGGTGGAGGGTTTAAGACATTTCCCATGTTAGCCAGAAACCATTTATAAATTGAAAAAGGAGAGAGTTTGTGAAAAAAGAAGTGTATTTAATTGCAAAATGGGCTCAAGATGTGCATTAAATCAGCTAATCTTATTCGTCTCCGTTCATCTGCGATTCTCACTGGCAACAAGGGCAGGCGGGTGGGAAGCTGTTCTCAGTGCCTTTGAGCTTCCCATGGCTGCACTCTAAAGGAAAGCTCCCAGGTTTCTGCGGGAGCAGTCCCGAACCCCCGGAACGTGAGGGGGGTCCCCAGCGAGGTGGGCTGCCTCGCCCCAGCTGCGGCTCTGCCACCCAGCCGGGCCGGGCTCCCCGCACTGCTCACGCCGCGTTAAACGCTCTTACTACGTTGCTCAACATCTCCTTTTAAACCCCTTGCTACGTGCAGATTTTTATATTCATTCGCAAGATACAAAAAACCAAGGGTTTAAACCCTTCATTTAGCTACGGTCATTAACCTGTAACTGATTTTCCATTGCTTCAGTTCAATCTTTTGATGCACCCGTTGTATTACAGACTAAAACTCCGTCTCTTGGGCAAGCGAGTGAGCCCAGGGCCAGTCTCGGGCGGGCAGAAGGCCCTGCCCAGCCGCACGCGGAGGTCGAATGGCGCAGCTTCGGCACAGACTACAAACAAGCGGTTACAGTCACAGATGACGAGGTGAGAACGTTGAGAAAGGACACCCAAGCCTCTTCCCCTGCCTGGCGGGAGGAGGGAAGGAGCAGGAAGCCCATCCACCCAGCGAGGCTGGGGAAGGGAAGGTTCCTGCAGCAGGAGCACCCCGCCAGACCGACGGCGAGTCCCAGCCCAGGGGCTGCGATGCGACAGCGGCGAGGGAGCAGCTGCCAGAGGCCGATGAGGACGCACCGGCTCCCCTCACACGGGGCTAAACACGGCCCGGGAGCGCGGCAGAGCTTCAGCGGGCGCCTTGCCAGGGGGCAGCCAGGGACGGCAGGGCCTGGCCCGCGGGAGGTTTGCCAAGGGGAAGGCAGCTGGCGAAAGCCGGTAAATCCTTCAGCTCAAGCTAGCAGAGATCCTGCTGGGTCCCTGCCAGCCCTGATGGTGGGTCAGATAAAGAGCTCTGCGCTCCAGGTAGCTCATAAAAAGAGATTAAAGCACCACAGTAAAAGAGACAGTTTCCTTCTATGTGCCCACTCAGGCAGAACAATTTCCCCTCCAGATTGATTTCTACGTTCCCCCCCTCGGCAGAGGATGCTGTAAATTGGCCCCGACGGGGAGGCCCCGGGGTGCCCAGGTGCGACGGGAAAGCCGCAGCGAGAACGGACAGAGCCGGGGAGCCCCACATCCCCGCTCCGCACTCATCCTCCCGGCACCGGGCCACTCCGACGGGATGAGGGCGATTCCTGCCGTGACAGGGGCACAGACCCTCAGGCTGCAACACAAATGTCAATGACAAGAATCATTTTAAAAGGCATTTAGTTGTCACACAACAGCGTTCAGAGTCCATCTGGACTGTGGAGGTCCATCAGACGGGGAGAATTTCTCTGCTCCTTGCAAACGTGGCTTTGACAAGGGAGCACGAGACAAGCATTAGCGATACCCCTTGTTCAACTCTGTCAATAACACAACCAGGAAGCCAGAAGACGCAGCTGAGATGCGAGAATAACCGATGGAGATTCTGCCAAGGTAATGCTGCTTTCCTCCAAGGACAGCCACGATCCACCCAAGCTCCAGGGATGGTCATCTACCATGTCAGTATTCCCTTCTTCCCAAGAAGGGCAAAGCTAGCTCCCCAAGGCTCAATATCCCTTAAACCCCTCCAGCAGGATGGATAAAAGAGACAAAAGAAGCGACAGAGCAACACTGTATACCGGCCACGCAACCAGTGGTTGTACATGAAGTCCACGCTGGCTATGCTTTACCCCCAAAATCTGCAGAGCAGCACCCAGCTGAAGTCTGCACCAACCCAAAGCCCTCGGCCACCTGGCAAAGGCAGTCCTCTGCCAAGCCTCAGGCACGGATCTGCACAAACATTTTTAGAAGATGGAGGTCTGCAAAGGAACGGACACACCTACCCTCACATCCATGTGCCTGTTGCGCAGATCCCATCTCACATCCCGTCTGCGTTGCGCTTCGTACCGGGTAACTCCTCACAGCAGGGCAGAAACTCCAACACCCCAGTTAACCAACTACTTCATGAATCAAGATTTTGCGGGTGTTAGCTGACACGTCTAGGGAAATGCAGTGTAATCATGAAAAACAGCATTACAGGATTCTCTTCAAAAGCACCCAGTCTGGTTTTCCAAGCTGAATAACCAACAGGTTAATGCCCCGAACGCACTGAAAATATCTGCTCACAGTCCCCAAGAATGCCTGTGCCTGTTAGCACAGTCTGAGTTTGTTACTGCTCCAAGAGTCTGAAGAGAGCAGCAAGACAAGGCTTTGACGTTCTCCTACCTACAGCATCCCTCCGGTACCTGCTGCTCACTGCACAGTGCCTCAACACATTTACACCTGGGTCTGCATTTACTGCAAGCTCCTCACAGATCGCGTTTCTGAACTTTGTTCCCCGCAGAGAAACTTTCATCTCAATCTGATTCAAGCTTCTATCACAAGACAGTGAAGTGCAACATCTCCGCCCCGAGGTCAGATTATTAAAATTTATTTCAAGATCGTGCAGAACAGAAAGCATCAGCTCACAGCAGGAGCCCGTGTGAACAATTCCAATCACAACAGAGGGGCCTTCCTCAGCCATCAGGTGGCCACTCGGGTTCTGTTCAGCCTGTGCAGCTATTGCCAACGGCTTGAAACGAAGATCGACCCTGTTCGTGGACAAGCACACCTCTGTAAAACCTAACCGCTGCTGGACTGCGCAGGGGTGACAACCGATGCGGCCTCGCCCCACACGAATCCTTCAGCCCTCCACCCCCGTGAGGGGCAAAAGCAGAGACCTCCCCCTAAGCTGTCCCTGCCTCACGCTCGTCTGGAGCTGCCGCGGTGCTCCCACAGCCACGCAATATCCGCGGCACGAGAAGGTCGCTTTAATTAGCGAGACGGTTTTGGAAATGGAGGAGTCTCCTCTCTCATTTTCCGTTTCACAGCCTGTCCCCAAGTCTCTAATTATCTGTATTCACACCTCCACACAGAATTCAAGGGGAATGGAAAGAGATTGGGCCTCCAAAACACGGAAAGTTAAGTAAAACGTCACCAGGAAAGGAATTCCAGGTGACTTCAGATTCTTTAACTGTCCACACAAAGTCTTTGCATACACCTTGAAATGAAAAGTTCCATTCCATTAAGAAAGTACACCTAATTTTAAGAGTTTGCAATTAAAAATGCATTGATAAAATGCTCTGTCTCTAAGCTTGTGCCAAGCTCCATAGCTCTGCTGATTGCAACAGACCAGCATAAAACAAAAATACTTTTAAATGGAAAAAAAAAAAAAAAATCAGGTAAAAATGTTTCTTCAAGTTCTTTATTTCAGCGTCTGGGGGAGAATTACTTTTCTCACACCTAACTCCCAGGAGCTTTGCTGAAGAAAAACCCGAAGATGTCAGGGCAGCAGCAGCCGCCTTGGAAAGCCCATGACAGTCAAAATTCAGCAGAATTATTTGGTTTGCTTCCAGCAAAATAAAATCAACCGCTCATATTCCTTTAACAAGTAATTCCTGCCAGGTGACTGACTAATATTTTTACAACTTCATACAAATTTGTTTTTCCATCTGGAAACACATGAGGGAAGGGGCACTCAACAAACACCTCAGTGAACTACACGTCCACTTCCCGGGATGGCAGACATCTGCCCCCAGCCACTCCAACACCGGGACACACAGGTTTGAGGCACAAACTTGGCAAGTAATGGCTTGCTGGTTTTTTGGTTGGGTTTTTTGCTGCGATAGCAGGTTCTGTAGGCCCAGCTTCCCTCGAAAACCCTTCTCAAAAGAACATGTTTCCTGCAACAGCTGAGAAACATCAGCTCTTCCTAGGGCTGCCAGGCTGCTGAGGTGACTGCACGGCGTACGTGGCACCTCCTGAACTCTGCAAGCCAGAGGTGCATTTCCACTGCTTTTAGTTTATTCCAACAAGGTCGACTGCAGTTCTGTAAACTGAGCCTACCTCCAGCACGAAGGGTTTAAAGTCGAGAAGTGAGCTGGAATTTGCATCTCCTAGCTGCAAATCCCTTAATCGTCTCCAAAACAGGAAGCGAAACACAAGCCCACAAACAAGTTGTGTTTCAGCCACTGGACGTTTCTTCCCAGAACCTCTGACCCTTACTCAACATCTCACGGAAAATAAAGATTCGAGGGATTCCTGCTTCGGGTCACATTTGCATCTCCTGTGCATATCTCCAGCCCTTGTGTCCATTAAACCTTCCCAGGCCCCTTCCCCCACCCAGCCCCGGGGAAGCACCGTGTCCCAGCCCCGGGGGCTGCCCGCCGCCGCTCGCTTCCCCTCGAGATGCTGCCGCGACAGCAGGAGGGCAAAGCCCTCTCCGACCACCCAGCCTTCTGCCACCTCCGTGCCCTGCTACTCCATGCCCCTGTGGCAGGCAACAAAAACACCCAATGAATCAGGGTTTCTTCCTTCCAAGCGGTGTAAACCTCTCAGAATTACTGTACCTAATTCTCACCAGTATCTGCACCGCGAGCCGTCATAATGCTGCCCTCAAGCTATCTATTCATAGGAACATTTTCCAGATGTTCAGGGATTAAAATGAACTTTCGCTAGCCTCCTTCTCAAAAGGCAGAAGTATTAAAAGTATTATCGAACACAAAATGTGAGAAATTGAAATCTAAGTTTTGTGTGTGAGTGTGCGAACGCCTCAGTTAAACGTCGTTCGGGCCTTTTCCTCCCTACTCCCGGCACGCTCTCGCTCTACGTTTGTTTTCACGGTAAACAAGCAGCAGCTACGCGTTCTCTGGGCCGGCACAGCCTCCCTGAGTGCGGCCCACGCTGCAGGCTCCTCTCCTTCACCGCAAGCACCCTCCAGGACGTGTCTGTAGCAGGGAGGGAGAAAAGCTTTGCTTTACGCTGACGGGGTCGGCATCCACTCCTCATGCCACCGCTTAATCGGATCGACACTTCACAGGTTCATCCCTCACTCTTCTATTCCTCCACACCACCGCTGACTCCAGGAGACATTCACCTACTTGAATTCTGTTTGAGTTCATGTTGTGAGGCGTTAAAATGTTTCTAATTTCCAAGGAAAGGAAGATTTCGGAGGACTGTTCTCTTTTCCGAAGCACGCACACACACGCGCTCCCCCTGGTTAGTACAGCATTGGGATTTCTTTCCAAGAATTCCATCACTTGCAAATAGACTATTTTAGGGGAAATGTACTTGGTGTAAAAACCACGCACGGAGGTGTTGATTGGTTAATGCTGCTCATTTTGCACGGTCGTCTTCTCCCAGTTTGGATCTGTAGGAGCTCCATGGGGGGTTAACGGATGCCTAAGAGAAGTTTGTGTAAAATGAGCCAAGTGTTTGCCATGGAAGGCAGGCAAAGGGCCAGAAGCAGCAGCCACCACGGCAGGCTCGGGCACCAGCCAACGTGGACATGGCAGCACAAAGACGAGGGCAGCTCTTGGCATGGGCATCCTCAGGCCTCCGGTTCCAGCCACGCAGGCTCGCAGCAGGCCCGGGCGGACGGCACCTCCTGCGCAGCAGCAATGCCTGTCTTCAGTGGACGAGGAGGAAAACGCTCTGTTACGGGGCTGCTTCTGAAACAGATTAACCCCCACACAGGGAAAAAGGAAGACCAGGAAAAGCCTGCTCTCCCATGCTCATTCATGTGACCTTCTGACAGGAAATTAATCTCTTGACCCCATCCATTTCGAAATAGAGGAACAAAAAACATGTTTCAGTTAAGAAGGAACACCACAGGAGCGACCACTAATACATGCCTCGCTGTTTCTGGAGAGCTCACAAGCAGGTAAACTAGGTAGTTCATTACAGAGAATACTGCAGCTATGTTACAGCTCCACATTAAAACCACAGCCTGCAGCTGGAGCTGCAAATACTCAGAGCCTTCAGAAATCACGTCA